CGATTGGCTCAAGCCCCGAGGGGGATGGGAGTCCGGTGTGATGGGCAGCTTCTGCCACCCGGACCTTCCCCCCACTTCAAACCATAACACTTATCATCTTTGTATAGTCATCATCCTTGTCAGTTAAATATATATTTTTTAAATTATTGATCATGCCCTGGACGGTATTACCGAAGTACCAGCCAAAAAAAGGGGCTGACAGATTATCTACAAACATTATGAAATACATGGGGTCTTTTTTTAAAAAACTTTGATGTTTAAATAGATGAGGCAGATGTGGTTGGAGAAGACATAACCAGAGAGAGAGACCCTTGCTTCTGCTTGTAAGGACAAGAAAATTTCACAGAAAGTGAACGAAGCAAGCAGCTAATAGAAGAGCAGACACCCTATGTATACAGTTTCATAAAAAACCTGCAAATGCCAGTTTAGAGAACTCGGATGACCTGCTTGGCTAACTCCTGTTTCAGGATCCCAGGCAAACCCAGAACTGCAACACCTCAGACACGTGGCCTGGCATTTAGCAGACTTTGCACATAACAAAATAATATCCAGGAAGAATCATGAGCTGCTTCCATTAGTCTATAGGCTGTCTGCTTCTCTGAAAACACAATATTTGTGCTGTTCATGAAAGGCTTAGAATTGCACAGTTGGATGTATTTTGGAAAAGGGGCTGTGTGTGTGTACACAAGCATGTTTTCTGTTACACTGCAACATCTTATAGAGAGGTGTCTCAGTCCTGAATAGATTCAGATACTGATATTAGGAAACTTGTATATTACCTATAGACTTATAAGCTCCTTCAGAAGCATACGTTTCTTTATTGTTAAGAGGTGGTCTTCATACCTTTCTGGTGATAGTCAGCTGACAAATTGAATTATATAGATGATGTAGAAAATTTCAATTTTTTTCTGTAAATAGATATTTTCTCTAAAATGAAAATTGTTTCCCCATTATTAATTTATATACAGGAGTCAGGATTTCTATCTGAAATACTCATATGCAGACTCTTTCCTAAGGAGATAGTCTTTTAGATCTGTGGCATAGTTTGCTCTTTGTCAAACTTAGATTTTCATTTAACATAATCTATTTGCTTTCTGATTATTTTAAGCCCGTCTGTTACTCAGAGAATTTGTTGCACACTATAAGTATGGTTATAACATTTGCATTTTCTTCATAGAAATTAAATCTTTGAAAAATTTTAATGCTTCATTGAATGACCTAAGAAAAGGCAGAGCATTTCTGCCTGCTTGCGAGTGTTTCCCAGGTTTTGGCTTTAGGTGTTTTTCTGCATTGATGTCGTTCTTTTTCTGAGGACTTCCGAAATCAATCAAATAATTGCTTCTGAGCAGGACAGTGCAAATCTTTGTTTCAAGTATTTTGCTGTAAGGTTACCTGATCTGCAAGTAATTTAAATTTTCATGCTATTTTTTTTTTTACAGGTAAGTATTTCAGTCTTTCTTTTCTCCCTTCCAATGTATTTTGATACGGGAGACTGGAGGAGAGACATGGGAGAGAGAGAGAGGGAGAAGAAGTCTTGTGCGTGGCCTTCATCTTGAAATCTTAGACTGACCAAAGTATAACTTTTTTAAAAGTATTTTTTTAATGTAAATTAATAACTAGATAAACCCAGACCATTCCACTTGTCTAATTGTTTCTTAACCATTCAGAGCCACCGTTTCACAGGCCTGTTTCCTCTGACTGGAGGACCAGCGGCATGAGTGGGTGGCACCACCTGCTGGCATCGCTGGCTTGGGACACTGCAGAGCTGCACTGAGCATCCCTGAAGCAGCTTTAGTCTAGCAAATCTTGTACACTAGTAGCTGTGGTGATGTGGAGATAAAGCTTCAGGGACGGTCCAGCTCTTCAAAACCCTAGTGCTGTGCTAGTCTTGACTGCAATTGGCACTCGACCTGAATGAACGATTGCTTTGGATGTATCTTCATGTACTTCAGTCGCGGGAAGTTTGGGAGGAGTAATTCAATCTCAGTGGATCGTGTGGCATGAGATATCCAGCACAAGATGTTTCAGAGATGGGAAATTACTGTTAAGTAGGTGATTAAGTCACTTTTGTGCCCTTTTCTGCTGCTGCACTTCTGTGTCTTGCTATGTCTGTGCACAGACAGCGCATGCAAGAGCAGAAGAACAATGAATCCATAGTAATGTTGGTATGTATCTGTTTAAAAACAGAAATTAAAAGCATCACTTTAAGTCTGTGTTGCTAATTATAATAAGCAAGCCTGCTTATTGTGGGTGACTATAAAGAGTATCTGAGCAGTTTTCTGAAGTTTCCCGCGCCCGTCAGTCACTCACCCAGCTGAAGCGCTTGGATGGGTTCACTAGCCTGGGGAAGGGATATACAGCACAAACAGAGTCCAGGACTCCCACTTTTCTCTGATCTCCCTCTGTGTTTTGTTTTTTTTTTTTTCAAAGTTTAGAGGTTGCTGTGGTTCAATCATGTTATAAACGCTTGCTGTAAATTCTCTTGGAAAGAGATGGATAAGAGCAAATATTAAAATTCCCACAGTACTTGCTTATGGTTTACTGCCAATACAAACTATAGCAGCGTGCCAGTGACTGCAGATCACAGACTCTCTTTATCACCCATCAGTGAAAAAAGGGCAACGGAAAAAAATACTTTTATAATATAAGTGCTAATTAATGAACAAATGCTAAACTAAGGTGGAATAGACTTTCTAATTCCTAGTCCCATTTGGCTGTTATTTCCATGCCAATAGCACTACACTAGATGTGGGCAATGTGCTCACCAATGAGAGAGCTGATACTGAAGGTCCTCTTTGGTGTTAACATACCATATCAGAAGTAGCTGTCGTCTGTGATTCCTGATTCTCTTTATCCTTCATTTTTCTTTTCTTTAATGAGTCTTTGAACCTGAGGAATTCTGTTTAATTAAGCAAAACTCTTGGTTTCTCATGCTGAAATGAGGTCTGAGGAGACAACCTGTGCATCTGTAGCTAGTCATGCTTTCTGTGGGTGCCTGGAGATCACTGCTGAGATCTCAGCAAGCACCATCCTTCTGAAACACTGGAGTAGAAACACAGCTGCACTTCTTGATGCCTTCTGCTTGAAGTAGGGTACACAGAGGAGGTTTGGAAAGAATCATGTTTTGCAAGTTGATGCTTAGCCTGGGTTTTTGGGCATGCCTGGTTCAGGCAAATGCTGAGACAGGCAGCCAAAGGAAGCGATTCCACAACTTCTTGGAACTTGGACCACTGATGAGATTCTGTGCAGGCTCACCTGAGCTGTAATCGTCGTGAGAGACCATCTTTCTTGGTGAAAAATGCAATTCAGACAAACTTTTTCTCTCTTGGAGAAAGTTGTGTCATAATGGAGGTATGTTGTTAGAGTAGTGTGGAAGCTTCAGCGGTGAATTACAGACAACACCTGTCTTCCAGAAATGCATCTGGTAACTTACACGAGAGCTGAACTGATTCAAAATGCCCCCAGGGAAGAATGTGCATGCTTCACTTTTATGCTCATTGTAATGTAAATGCTCTCCTGTTCAAGTGCGGCTTGTGACAGGCAAGTATCTCTTGGGTCATCTGATGGTGCTGGTGTGGCGTCCTGGCAGCACGGTCATCAGTGGCAGTCCTGTGATTCGTATCAGTGAGCCAGGCTTGTGATCCGCTCGCTGCAGTGATCATACAAATTCGGTGTGTTTGAACAACCCCGGGAGGGACGAGGGAATTTCAGACCCACTAAAGACTCCTCCACCGTATTTGTAAAGTTCCATGGAGCCAGAGGGGCAATATTTAATGACAGAAGGATTTAACCTATATGCTTCTCAAAAGCTCAAGTAGCGTCAACTCCAGTCCACTCTGAGTACAGAGAGATAGATAATGAGCTTACTTAGTGGGTTCATATTTTATGTCACCGCTGTCAAATACTTTCTTACCAAAATCATTGGCTAAGCTGCTGAGTTTATACAAGTCCATTGTAATTTGTGCAGTGATTAAATATTAAAACAGAGTGTATTTTCAGAGGAAATAAATTTAGAGCAGACCACTTTGTTCTTTAGCAGAGGATCTCTGCTCCTGTCAGTTAGGAGATGGAGCAAATGTTCTTCCCTCTAATAGCATAATTATTCAAAAATGCTTGCAAGAATCTCTTTGTAGAATTTGTGCTTGTGCTCTGGAGTCATTCTTTTATTCCAAAATGAGGATGAAAGGTTTCAGATTCAACAGCTGACAAGGTGATGCAGGTTTACAAACAAAATTTGGAGGAGAAAGGACCCAATTGTATGTGAAAGTGTTATCCATTTATATAGAAATCTACAACTAAAGATGCTTTGCTGTGCCATTTAATTTTAAAGACATTCAGAAGCCTTCTTCTGTTGTCTCTTAAGAAATTTTAATGGCTTAACTTTACAGCCACCTTGAGGTACCGCTTTGCAAAGCAAAAAAAAACACATAAACTTGGACACTATCAAGTTTCTTAAGCATGTTTTAACACGCAACAGTAATGCTTTCATTTGAACAGATGGGGCTTTTTTAGCATTAATAACTTTTGCTAAAATCAGATTTATTTTTCAAATTTTGAGAATGACCATGCTCTTGCAGTATAAGACACAAAAAAAGCTGCATTCTTGGGTTAGATCAGATGTAACTATTGATGCCTTGGCATGTGGTGACTTGTGTGTGAATGCATGGAATGTCTTTTCTGTGTGAAACCCAGGAAAAGATGTACTTTGACTTTCATTGTCATTTTTATACAGTTTTCTGTGTCATTCTTTTTCTCTTTTTCCCCCATCTTATCAGTGCAGATTGGAAATCAGCCTTCTTTGGGGGAGCATCAGATAATTATTCGAATAATGTTATCTGTAATGTAATGGGATTTTTTTTCCAGTGTAAATGTCTCCCAGGTCTGCTCCTTGAGTGTACTGAGCACATCATTAACCTAAAGCATGTGCTCACCGAATTTCACCTTGAACATGCCGTAAAAATATCTATGTCTTTATACTGAATAAGTTTGATGTGCTTTAGTGCCTGTAAGCGATGAAGAAGAAGGAGGCATTCTCTTTGATAACATTGCCAAATCTGCCATTGACCCCTTTGACACCTCTTCTGGATCGGTACAGCTGATAGCTATCAAACCTGTGGCACTACCTGCTGTTCACGCTGCATCAGATAGGAGCCAGGAATCTGCCATCATTAATGGAGAGGTAAGGACTGTCTGATAGTGTTTCCAGCTGTTCCTGTTTCCATTCACAGGTGGAACAATCTTAAGCCTGCCAGAGTTGAGGACTGGTAGGAGCTTTTCACTCTGATGCTATATAAAGTCCCATTGGCATTGTGGGCTCTGAGATCTGAGAATTTAAGATCTGCTCTTTCATAATGCACCTATAAGTGCATGCGACCTTGGGAGAGGCAATTTTCTATATTCCTGCCCTCTCAATATCCTTCTCCCCTACCCTATTCGTTTTAAGAAAATGGCTAAGGAAGGCACAGAGTAGACCAAGATCTTTGTCTATGTGAATTCTGTGGCTGAACATGGAAATGTCCATAGATCATCTGAGTCCCAAGCTGATCTTTCTATACCGAGCAACAGCTCTCATTCAAAGCAAGAAAGGACGCACCAGGACCATGGCTTTGCGCAGTCTGCGCTCCAGCCTGTGCACAGAGGGTGCAGCTTTTTCCTGGGAACAAAGAGGGATGACACAAGCATCCGATCCAGGCGCTGGCCAAAACCCATGCTTTGGCTCCAACACTCGTATAGATTATTCATGGGTTTTATGTAGATTTAATTTAATTTTACAAATGACTAAGGGTTTTGTATGGTTGTTAAACATGAAGGGGACACTCCAGAGAGATGTCTTGTTTCCAAACTTGCGCTGCAACAGTCATCTAAAGATCAACCAGAATCTCCCTGATGGTGTTTAAAAGCAAGAGGGAGGGCTGCTGCCAGAGACATGGTAAAAGACAGTGTCATTGGGCTTCCCGTGTGGGCCTGGATTAGAGCAGTCTGTTGTGCTCCGTTTCGTCCTTGTATTTTAAGCCCTGACATGCCACGTAGTTTCCAAACTCAGAGAAAAGCATCTTTAGATTTCAGCATCAATTTTCTATAAGTCAACAGGATGATTGCAGTGCAATGTGCTCTCTTGTACATACATTTCTTGAAGTTCGTGAGAAGATAGTAGCATTTGACTCTGGAAGCACAAATTCCAAGTAAATTGCTCATTTTCACGTATCTGACAATTTGAAGCAGGAGGGAAATTTTCTCAGTTTAGGAGCATCCATGGGACATGACCTGTATCAGATCAGAGCAAACACCTATTTATTTAAGAATCCTGTCTCTTAACAGGGGCTCGTAACAGATTTGTAAGAAAGCATATAAATAAGAGGAATGTATGATGATATTTCACCAGAATTCTTCCCCAGCCATCAGCAATGACTTATTTAAGGTTTTGTGTAGCCAAGAGTGATGTCCCTATACTTACTGGGCCCTAGAAGAGTTTTCATTGGTGAGTTCTCCCCATGGTGCCCAAAAGCAAGCACGGCGTTGGGTCACGACAATTGGCTAACATCACCAGTGTTTTTCTTCAGTGGGTGTATCTGAGTCACTGTTGTGATGGTACATAGTTTTAAGGCTAAAATTATTTAACCATCTGCCAAGCCATAAAAATGCAGCGACTCTGTTCACTTGCAGTTCCTCGCTGCTTACAGATGGCATGGTGTGGTACAAAAAGTGCTCAGTAAAATGACACATGCAGCGCATCAAACACACTCCAACAATACCGCTTGGAAGTAGCCAGCCTAGCACCATCCTTTAAACGTCTTTTTGCCTTTTAGGTGAACAAGGCTTTGAAGCAGAAGTCCGATATAGAACATTACCGCAACAAGCTGCGCTTGAAAGCCAAGAGGAAGGGGTACTACGATTTTCCACAGGTTGATAACAACAAGGGGCTGACAGAGAGAAAAAGGATATATGAAAAAAACCAGAAGGAACTTGACCACATTTTGGATCCAGATGCAGATGTGTCGTCTCCATTCGCTGAGCCTAAGAACAGGTGAGACTTTTTATATGCAGTTCTTCGTCTGAGAGGAAAGTTGATGTCCAGGGGTTGTAGGGAATCAAAGGGGCCGTTCTTAATGAGTCGACTGTTTGCTGTATGGTCAGCTGATCCCTCCTGCTTTATGAAGAATATTCATATAACCCATGGTTATTTATGAAAGTATGTTTTCTGGTAAAGCTGCAACATGGTTAAAAGAAAGAAACAGAAAGACAAAAAAATAAGGGGAAGGGACTGTTGCAAGTTCTTATGTCATTTTCCAAGTAAGGTAAATAGAAAAAGCAGTAGTAGTTTTTTTTAGTAATACTGAGAGTGGACTTAACCCAGGAAGTTAGCATCTGAATTAATTCTTTTTCAAAGTTTAGTGGTGCTACTATTTTGTCATTATTTTTATCTTAATATAACTGTTGCAGTAGGCATAAGATAACACAACCGGTACAGTGTCCATGTATTTCAGAAAGTCCTGCAGGGGTGCTATCTGTAAGGATGTGTGTGTACCTGTTATTAGCGACCTTCCTGTACCTTTAATAGAGTCGTAATTTGCTCATCTGTGATGTGAAGCTGACATACTGTATAAAGATACTAATGTTTGATTAACACTTCACTGTCTCGTGAAGATGGCACACCAGTAGTATTCATCTCCCCATTTTAGAAACGAAGAGGGAGTGTGCATGCTGATTCTCCCTGAGCCTGTGGGTGGGTGGGTGGACCTGCTCCGTAGCTGGTGCTCTCTGAAGCACAAGTTGACACATTGAAAGGAGGAGATCGCACCAGTCCTACCCTCAATGGCACAGTGAGCAGTTTCCTCTTCCAGAAGGTGGTGGAGGTGTGAAGGATTGTAAGAGAGTGTGTTTGCCATTGCACCTCGCACCATGAGGGCTCATGTTCTTACTGTGGTCAGGGACCAGCAACAGTTGATCCATGAGAGAAACAGGGATAGCAAAGTACAGTTCCTCTGGAAATGGTCTGATGCCTGGAGGTACAATCTTGCATACCATCTCCTGGAAACTTCAGACCAAGGTTTTCCTATGAGCATAAGTCATGACTTCAATCAAAGCATTGGTGGTGACACAGTCTTTGCATACGACACAACTTCAGCAATTACCCTTGGGGCACAGAGATGAATGTCATGGTTTGATGTGGAGGGGGGGGGCAGTGTTGGCTCAGAATATGGGCAAAAGCTGTGACTAGATGAACTTCTACAGGACTCGAGTTAAATGACTGAGTGATACTACCCTTGATGGGCCGTTTCCCAGGGTTGCACTGGTCAATAAAGAAAAGAGATGCTGACTTAACTGTATATTATGTCCTTGCCGGAGGGTCTGGGGCATCATTTCCTTGTGCAGTTTTCCAGTGAAGGAGGAATAAATTGCTTCAAGAGCACTGAAAAGGTAAGATACTGAACCCTCAGTACACAGGAGTCCCGCTCTGTCTGCGTAGTCTGTCCAGAAGACATAGATGAAACAGTAGAAAGACTGATATGGCTGTGCGCTCTACCTATAGTGAAGAAGTGAGGCATTACTTTGGATATTTATTGTGTCACATGCCATGTAGGAAATGTTTAAAACATTACACATGAAGCTTTAATGCTAGCCATCTGCTTTTTGTTAAATATACTGATGTTTGTTTGTTCATGTGCCAATGTGCCGAAAGGTCCTGGAATACATTTTTTCCTGCGTGTTTTCTAATGTGTTGTGTAAACCTGTCATAGTCTATTTGAGATAGTGATCACTGGCATGATATAAACTGCTTGAAGGCAGGTATACTGCTGTAGAGGAATGATTTCATTGTGTAGCTGAACCATAAAAGGCTGACTGCTGCGTTTGCTTGTTAAATATGTAGTCTGTATCCCTACATAGGAAGGGAGAAGAACCATTTCTGATGCATTTTCTGTAAAGACACAAAATGTTTAGAGAACTTCACAGATGTTGCAGATGTCTGCAAACAAACCAACTCCAAAGTCTATTCTAAAATTTCCATGCTAAGACCTGGAACTGAATTTGGTGTGCTGCAACACACATGACAGCGTTATTGCCTTAATTTCTTTAACTGAAAATAAGATGGCTAAAATGGCATACTGCTAGAGGAAAACCTTGAATAATACTACAAGATAATGTGTGGTTTGGTTATTGATAACTGAATCAACAGAATTGTATTTCTTTAATGAAATAAAATTTCTTTTAAAGCAATCTAGGCTAGCATAAACTTGAAAATAGTTGATTTCTAACTTTTTCTGCTTTGTATAATTGTATCATTATATTTACAGCAATTAAAAACTGAAAAATTCAATTAATTTTTTAAACAATAATATCGCTTGAGAGTAAGTCAAAGATTTTGAAACTTCTAGGGAAAAGATCTATTCCACTCTTTGTTTTGCGTATATTCCACTAATTTAAATCACATTATTACAGTATTTCCAAAATATATGAGGAAAAAAAAGATGCAGTTGATTACGTTATTCAAGATCACCTTTACATTTTGGATTTGTTTTAAATTGTATTTAAATAATTTACAAAACGTCGCCACTAAATAACTTGATTTATTCGAGAACAAACAGCTCTGTGTTCTTAGTATCTTTCAATCTTCTTGATTGAAAGTACCATGAAATTCATGTTTTAACACGTTCCAGTTGTGGTCCCAGAAGGCACTTGCTAACCCATTTGAATGCCGGTTGTTAACATTCGTACCTCCTTTCTCATTAGTAAAACTTTCTTAAATGAGCTAATTGGCAATCTCAAGGCAATTTTTAAGAGCCTACTGATGATATGCACTATTCTGGGTTTTTCTTTAATAGTTTGTAATCAGGTCAAGAATCTGCATGTATTAGAGCTGTATATTTGAATCCCTTAGAAAATATATCACAACTGCATCAACTAGTAGCTATTGTAAAACGTATGAAATTTTAGAGACTTTTAGTGTAGGAACATAAGGCTAATCAGATCTGACTATCTTGAACATAACCTAGTTCCCCATGTTTTCTGGGAATACCGGCAGTATAGACTTGGAAGAAACAAGATAAGGCAATTTAATTTATTCAATATTATACTTATAGGGGAAATTTATTCAAAAACCCCTGCTTGTGTTGTGCTTTGGCAGTGCATTTGGGACTTTCAAACATGCATATGGAGATTTGTGATTAAAAGTCACACAGAAGTTTTTGAAAGTTGCCTTAAAATTAAGTACACATGAGTACTTAGTTTAATCAGAAGTGTGAAACTGATATTTTTGTGTCCTACCGTTTTATTCTGTCTGATCATGTAAATGTCTGTCTTTCTGGATTTCTGCAAACCACTTTCTGCTCCTCTAATGTCAAGACAAAAAGTTCTCTTAACCAACTCTGTAGTATCTGAAGAATCATTTCTTCATATCAGTGAATTCATTTGGACTGTATTGTCTTTCCATTTAATTGATGGCTCTTGTGAGGTTAAACCATGAAGTTTTTGTGACTGCTGAATTGAACAGGCAACTTCATGTGATTTCCTCTTATGTCACTTAAAAGCCTAGGACCATTTCTGTCAGTATCTCAAACATTGTAGTAGATCTCTTTGTAGTCAGTCCAGGCAGTCCCAAATTTTTCACTTAACTTTAATACAAGCATTTTTTTTGACCTTCAGTCATATCTTAACACAAGATTGCATTTTCTTTCAGGTTACCTGGCAAGCATAGGAGAATGACAGAAAGTCAAGCAAGTTTTCTCCCTTCAACAGCCCCCTTTCAAATTTCTGCTTTCAACTCTTCTCTGATTCTCACAAACTTATCAATCATGGCTGAAAGGCTGTTGTGCTCTGACTGATGCTTATTGCCTTTGTAACCCCTCCCTAGCTGTAGCCTGAAAATCATCCCACGGCTGTGTTGAACCCCCTACCACAGCAGCAATCTTCTGCAAAGATTTGATTGAAGGGAAAAAAAATGCAAAGTTTTGAACTTGTCTAATGTAAAAACGTACTTGGATGAATGCAATACACTAAGGAAGTTTTTACTTTCTCAGGAACAACTGAGCAAAAAAGTGTTGTGAACGGACAATGTTACTACAACATTACCACTTGGGTAGCTAGCTCCTGAAAACAACCCTGGGAAAACAAGGCATTCATGAATGTTTATGTGAGGTTTAGTTGGGAACTGCTGACTTCATGTGCCAGAGGAAGGGGCAATATATCCCGACAGGTGTGGGTAGTTATCCATCAGATCTAAGTACGGACACTGAAGAAGCAGCTGACTTGAAAATCTGTGATGTTAATATTTTGCACGGAACAGTTGCACAAAGAGCATGACTAGGCAAAGATAACTTCACATTAGGCTTTAACAATGGTGTAATTACTATGTTAATAAATGAAACTGACATAGAATCATAGTATCATAGAATGCTTAGGGTTGGAAGGGACCTCAAAGATCATCTAGTTCCAACCCCCCTGCCATGGGCAGGGACACGCTTCACTACACCAGATTGCTCAAAGTCTCATCCAACCTGGCTTTGAACACTTCCAGGGATGGGGCATCTACAACTTCTCTGGGCAACCTGTTTCGGTGCCTCACCACCCTCAGAGTGGAAAAATTTCTTTCTTATATCCAATCTAAATCTGCCTTCTTTCAGTTTAAAGCCATTGCCCCTTGTCTTATCACTGCACACCCTTGTAAAAAGTCCCTCTCCAGCTTTCCTGTAGGCCCCTTTAAGTACTGAAAGATCATGTCATTATTTGATCTGCCATTGATTTCCAATGGGAAGTTCACTTCTCTGGGATATGCAAGAAAAAAATGGGGTTAGATGTAGCCTCTGTAAAAGATGCATCTTGAGTAAGCATTAAATTCCTGTATCAGGATATGGCAACCACTCCTGAAGAGTTTACATAGAGATATATTCTGTATCTTACAGAGAAATGCTATATTTGTTTTTGTAGTACCAATAACAAGGAAAGAAATGGTTGCATTGGAAAGATTACAGACTGTTTTGGGTGTTGAGCTTACATGCTGTCTTTCTTGTAACTTTACTTCCCCTTACTGCTGATCACACAGTGGTGAAAGCTGAGTGCTTAGGGATGCCTTTGTCCCAGCACTGCTCAGAGCTAGGCTGGAAGCAATTTAATCCCAGGGAGTACAGCTCTCTAATAAAGTGGCCAGTTACCAAACTGACGATTTAAAAAACCAGCATCTTGCAAGCAGTTCCCTCACACTCTTGTCCCTCTTCCTATTCGCTTTGCTGGGTGTTTCTTTCTGTGGAGTGTTATTCTGCTTCTCTCTTGTTGCTCAGGATCAGCAACCAAGATCTGCACTCCCCATCTGAGTGTGTGGGAGGTCCTGTTATTTTTTTGATAATAGCATCTATTTCTTTTTTATTAATTATAATCCTATCAGCTGAGATTAAAAGGGTTCTGATATCTTCTTGGGGCATATTTCATGTGATAAGATCATACATATGATGTTCGTGTCTCTTACGTAGCTTTATTTTCTTTAACAGTAAAAAAAAATTAATGATCTTTTAACATTACTGATTTCTAGCACTTCCATGTACATAGAAAGAATATCCTATAATAAAGTGACATTTTTATGAACCTCATCGTTTTAGAATAAAGGTGAGTAATGAGAACTACTGCCTGTCACTTTTTTGTTTTCTTCTCTTTTTACTGTTTTCTTGTTTCATGTTTTCTAGGCAACCGATAAAGAGCTCGGTATACAGAAGCAGGCAGTCTCTGAACAGTCCTAGCCCAGGAGAAACTGAGATGGATCTTCTAGTGACTCGAGAAAGACCTAGACGTGGAATCCGTAACAGTGGATATGATGTAAGTTTATGAGATATATGCAGTAAAATTTGCTTAGCAAAGTCTTAACTTACTCCTAAACCCAGGAAACTATTGATAAGCTACAAGCCAGAATGCCATTGTGTATTTAACATTACAGTACATTGTGTGCACTTGGCATTCTGAAAAAGGCTCAGGATGTTCCGAGCACAGACTCTTTCATGTACTCTCATGTACTCTATAGCTGTATATTGTTTTACAGTCTGAAATGCAAACAAAACATTTTCCCTGGAACTCATTATTTGCCAAAGTATTAAATTTTGGATTTAGATACTTCTTCTAAGTATGCAGCCATTTATATGATACTGAGATTATTTTGACTGCAATTAAAATCCTCTGTTCTGTACCCCTGATGCTGCTGTCTTGATGCAGAAGAATGGACAACTGACTTCTGGGAATTTCACTTAAGTCCAGATGTCAGTGTTTTGTGGAAATCCCCTAGGAACAGATATTGTCCTCTTGCTACATTAGAGCTGGCAGAGTTTCCAATAGGTAAATGTCAAAACCAGCCAGAGGAGATACTGATTTATGGTCCAAGGAATTCATGTGGCCAACACAAGGCAGATCAGTTGCCTTGCTCAGTCTGAACATACACTGGGTGCAAGTTGACACTGCATGCACCCAGAATGAGGATAAAAATAGTCCCCCCGCTGAGGTCCCATAGAATTTTTCAATCCTTCACTGCGTCTACATAATGCTGTAGCTCAGACTGCCTTGAAAAATCAGTCCCTGGGAAAGATCTAAACCATCATGGAAAATAAGGAAGTTCATCTGGTGGTTGTTCCTCCTCTAAATGCTGTAGGTGACAAACCATTTTGTGTGGGGCTTAATTGTCAACTCTCTCAGCTGTCAGGGATGTGTTTTTTAGCAAGGTGAAGGAAGGTACTGAGGCCAGGGGATCTGTTCAGGGAATTTTAAATCTTCTTCAGACTTCTTCAGGGAATGTTATAGGTATCAAATTTCTTAAATGATTTCCTGCGCTTGGATGCTTGCCATCAGATTGCATGGGTCATGCTGTGCCATGTAAATGGGATGATTGGTTCACTGCTTTCTAAGGCATTAGAATACATTGCTCTATCCTGGAAAAAAAGCAGTATAACCTGCTAAAATAGGTTTTACATTTTGCAAATATATATATATATATTTTTTTTTATCCCACTTAAATGTTTCCTTTATTATTGGAGCTTTCTTGGGTAATAAAAACTCTGTCAAGCCAGCCTTCCCTCAGTATCCTGAAAAACATGTTTCAAAGCAAGAGGGTTTGTTTTTTTAATAGGCTAATAAAAGGTAGTTTTTCATAGGTGATATTTTTCTGAAATGAAAGTTGAAAACATTCTGGGAGCAGGCATGGCCTCCTGCTATTAGTTCAAAATTAATATGCCATAAGTAGTTAGCAGAAGAATTTTAAAATATATTTTAACATATTGTGTATGCTACATATAAAACATAATTTAAAGAAAAAATGTTTTAAAACCTCAAAAGTAGTTTAATAAGCATATGCAGATTCTGAAATGTGCTAGAAGTAATTCCAGCTCTGTGGTCTCCACACATCACACGCAAGTTTGCTTTTTGCCTTTCTCTTAAGGCTGCAGCTGGGTGAGCTGTCCAGGGCACAGTCTTTTTTTCCTAATAAGTTATGTAAAATTCCTTTTGCCCAATGTGCTGCAGATTGACTGTAGTGCCCCTCTTCTAACTGTGAATGTATTCTCTGTCTGAAAGCAGAAAAATGCCAGGGGAAAATGGGACAGGATATTGAAATCTAGTTCCCAAGCCTCAGCTTGCAGCGTGGGCTGGTTTCCCTTGCTCCTGTTTGAGGTTCCTCAGAGCTGTGCTGAGCATCTGACAGGCTCTGTCTCCCAGGATACCCACAGCTGGGCACTTAAATCTATATTTAAGCAGGGAATTCATATGGATCTCACCAGTGGTGCAACTAAACACCTCTGTAAATCTGGTCTCTGAAAATGGGTGAAAAAGAGCTCTGAAAAAGGGCTAGTTTGTATGCTGAATCTTGTGTCCTTTCTTTTTTTTATCTAGTGACATCTTGTACTGTTTTTGACATCCACTTTGTCATTCTAAAGGTTCAAATCTTCTCAGTATCCTTCTAACATCTTCCTCCCAGTATGTTATTTAGCAGCAAGTCCCAACAACAAATAGTGAAATTTGTCTTTTATAAACAGGTGTTCAAATTCATGGATCGAACAGCCCATATTATGCTCAAGTCATGAGAGCTGTTACCAGTATGCTCAGGTTATGTGTTGAAGTTTATCTCCTTAACCTTCATAAATGTTTGGGGTTTTTTTGTTTGGTTGGTTGGTTTTTTTTAAGAGATAACAGAGAGATAACTTTTTTATATAAATATAAAAGAGATTACTCTTTTTAAAGAGACTAATATTCCCCAGACTCTTGTAGAAAACTCCTTAAGAACTGCTAGACTCACATGCACAACCTGATCCTGAGAGTTTATGATCTGCCTGATTTTGCCTTGTCCTTTAATTAACAGAGGGAACTAAAAGCTCAGGAATCTGCCATTTCATGCTACTGATTTTTTTTTTTTAATATGGTTCCTCTTTCTAATATTTCAATTGTGGTTTTCTAAAAATATTTAATTCCTTATAATGATTTTTTTTGTGATATTTCTCCGAATCATGGTTCTCTTTCTCAGAGTTAAAAACTGGTCAGGATATGAGGTCAAGAGTTACACATCTGGCCATATAGAATATGTAGCTTTTTGTATTATTTTAGAGTGTACATTCTACTGCTTGATGTTCTGGGTATATTATTTGCCTTTATAGCATCTTTTATAAATAGGTTCTGTTCAATAATAATCCATCTTTCAATTTTTAAATAATACCAATAGGGTTTAGTATCATCACCTTCATCTAGCAAGTAGATTAAGGAGACTTCATTAGCATGTTTATTATGTCCAACATGTTCGCAGACAATTGTGAGTTGAGGAAATGCTATAATGAAGGAGGCTAGAACCTCTAGACTGCTAAAGAGTTTTATACTAGGGCAGAAACTATTTAGGCTGGTTCTGGTGTAAAAACGAAGAAAATTACCTTCTCATACTTATTGAAGAGATCAATATACAAAAGAATTTACTGGTATAATTTTATTGATATAGTTAAATTAACGCAACTCCTCAAAAAGCTTATGGATTAATGTTGACGTGAAGAGATTTACTGATATAGTTGCAGCATCAGAGTTATGCCAGAAGTGTATAAACTCTCTCTCAGTACGGGATATTATTTTCCTTCGTGTAATTCCAGTTCCTTGTATTATATAGTAACTGTCTATGAACAATATCTGGATTTTAATAGTGGAAACATTAATGTAAAATGGTGTCTGTTTATGGTACTTAGGTGTTTCAGTTGATATGAAAGCAAATGACAGGCATCAGAAAACGATAGGATGAATTGAAATAAATTTTAAAACTTGAGGAAAAGTAATGCTCACCAGTCTCCTCCAAAATCTTTTGCCAACTTTTATATTGATAAGTTAAAGCTGACAATGTAGACTGCTGATATGCATCCTTTATTCATACTATATATTTTAGACATTCTGTAGAGGTCTAATGGCTTCACCAAGGGGCTGTAGTAGACAATGTGATTTATTTCCGTATTGGGTACTAACAGGTCTCTTGTGGGATTCCATTCACTGATGGTTTTACAGTTATAGGGAAATAGTAGAGCCATGGTTAGTAATCATCCATTTGGGACAATATGATTTCAGAGCCTCTTTGGTTTATACATACAAACATTTATACATACAAACCACCATGGTGTTTTATAGTCAGGCTTCTAGAAATTACCTGATTTTTATTTACCCTACCCTCTAACAACACAGGTAACAGTGGAGTCAAAATACAGGAAGAAAATTAAGGCAAACTATTTTAGTTGAAGATTTGCTACAAAGTTTTTCAGTTTTAAGATAACTTTGTGTTGTTACATTTTTCCTCCTCCAATCTGATGTGTGTACTGCTTAGGAAGCCTGAAGTTGAGTTTGTGGTTTTGAATTTGGATAATATACCATGTCACTATAACCATATAAGTTATGGTTGAATTCTAATATGCAAAAGATTAATTATTGTCTCAATTTTATTTTTTGTTACTGTATTTTCATTAAGTATAAAATATAGCTGTAACAGGAGAGAAAACAAATTAAGATCTTTTATTTCAATTTTATGACAGTTTTTAAGCTAACCATGTAACTTTTCTCTGCAGAGCTGATATCAGCAGAAGAAAGTCAGTTTGATATTTTCTTCTGCAGATCAAGAAATATGTACTATGATTGTCCTATTGTATGTATGACCATACATAGCTTGCAAAGGGTTGGGGGCAAAGTTGCTTATCTAGTCAGGTATAGAAAAGCACTATGACATGGGAAAAAAGTATGCCATACTAGGAGCTACAGAGCACTCAAATAATCAGGACAGTGCTGGAATTTTTAATAAGAACATCCTGTTGTATTCTTTGATTTGTGGCTATTTTAAATGCTAACACAATTCTAACCACATGCTATATATAGAAGGTACATATCCTATTCTTCATTCCAGTTATCCTAGCATCTTAAATGCATTTTATTGATAGTTAAAGAATTATAAGGAATCGGTTGCTTTTTCAGGTTGCCTGTTTAAAATATATTTTTTAAAACTATAGGCTGTAAAATTAATCTTACAGAATGTAGATGAAGTTAAATATTTCACTGTCAAGTTCTTACAATATGATGATTTTTTTCTGTCTTGAAGTGACAGGCAAAAAAATCAGAGGAGGGATTTCTGTTTGTGCTTACCTATACAGAAGGAATTACCCTAGGAGTATCTCTTAAGCTGCATGAGTACTATCTGCTCATTAGAGTATGTGCTTCATTCACTGTTCCCACATTAGTTTTGGATAAATTTCTGTGTAATTACTGTTTGATGGCTAGGTGAGATGACCAAGCTGGGTCATGATATTTTCTGCAAGGGCTGGGACCTAGTTTGTGGCATCGTTGTTAGTGGTCCTCACTGAGTTGGAAAGTTCAGGAAAACTCGTAAACTTTAATTCTACTGAAATCCTAACGTGTGAGAACGGACAAAAGAATTTCAGTCCCTGTAGCTGTAACAAGTGGTCCCTTGTAAGAAGTCCTTCATATTGATGGTACTGTTTAGGGAGTCATACTCCTCCTGGCACAGTTGTGCTCCCGTTGATACTAACAACTAAGAAAAGAATTTAAACATTAATTCTAATTGTTTTTAAGTGAACCATTGACAATTTAGTCTGCTACAGAGTGTCTCTGCTATTTTTCGCAGCAAACAATGTAGGACATAAAAGAGTATTATACTCGTCTGCATCATATCACTCCTTTCCAATATGTCATGCGTCTATATTGTCACAATTCCTGACTTTGTATATGTTACATCTGTGTTCGAGAATGTTTTGCGTGAAGCAGCACAAATGCTGCCTTGTAAAGCTTTTTACGTATACATGCTTTTATTCCATCCAACAGACTGAGCCTGAAATTATAGAAGAAACAAATGTTGACCGTGTCAACGAGCCTCGGAGTTACACCAGGTCCCGTCAGGCCAAAGGCCACTCGGAGACCTCAACTTTAAGTTCTCAGCCCTCCATTGATGAGGTTCGACAGCAGATGCATATGCTTTTGGAAGAGGCTTTCAGCCTGGCCTCTGCGGGCCACGGAGGACAGAGCAGGCAGGAGGCGTACAGCTCGGCACCGCACTTGCCCTACTCAGAGGTTGTGACCAGTGCTCCTGGTACCATGACCCGACCTAGAGGGGGGGTACAGTGGGTACCCACATACAGACCAGAAATGTATCAGTACAGTTTACCAAGACCAGTAAGTGAAACTTCTCTTTAGTATACTGTCATACCATAAAGATATTTCTACTGAGACACATTTTTTGAAGAATTAGCCCCGTTTACATGCTTAAAACCAGATGTAAAGCCATGCTTACAGTAAATAAGTATGGGTAGTGGGGTGTATGTATGTATGCTTGCCCATACTCATCTCTTGCAAGAAGACTTGGTGTCTGTTTTAGCAGCAAGGTTGTCTTGTCTAAGTTGTGCTTGAAAGAATGGGCTGCACTAAGCTCCAGGCTGTTCAACAGATCAAGAACTTGCTTGCATGTTCTCCTATATTGAATGCATATTAGGAAGAATTCTGCTATTGTAAAACAGCTATGCACGTAGCTGCATAAGATCCTTTACTGAAGACTATCATTGCAAGAGAGGAAACCAAGTGTTATAATCAGTGACCTGAAATGTGGGCTGTTATTGACAATCTTGCAGTTATAGCTATTGACTTGGGACTCTAGAGATGGTTTAGTTCCACAGGTTTCTTGGTTGACCTTATATAAGTAACTCTTTATCCCTCATTTTCTAGCCTCAAATTGCAGCTGAAGCGTCCTTACCTCACAGAAGCAATAAATGAATTCAGAACTGAAATCCATGGGTGGAAATTTTTAATGAAGTTTTGTAGGTATATAGACAGCAGTCGCAGTAGTACTGTGCACACCCTTGACATGTGAAACTACCTCTGAATTCCCACATATGGTATTGTGAAACTCAACAAAATATTTTCCTCGTGTGTCCGGTACAAATCTAAACCAGAGATGATTGCTTTCAGATGAGAAATAGCTCATCTATCAATATGAGTATGAAAAGTTGTTCATTTTAAGGCTTTTTTTTTGGTCAGAAATAAATATTTTTGTGAAAGAATGCATTTCAAATTGAGTTCCTTACTCTGGCTAGAATAAGACAATAATGCAGAAAAATGTCCTCAGTTCAAAATAACGGTTACTGTGACTTCCTTCCATGACAATAAAAAAAATACATTAAGGAATGCTGCTTCTGAACTATTCTGAACATATTTGAAAGCCAATGACACTGCCTGCAAAGGTTCAGGCCGATGCTATTTAAATCATGCTAAAGGTTATTTCTGGCACTTTGAAGTTGGTCCGATGAACTTCATACAGCATATAATCATATTGTATGGTTAGAATTCGATTACAAGCTTAAGAGACAACTAATGGGTAGTCAAATTACTTTGACACTTGAGAGAGTCCTTCTAAAATGAAATTAAAAATAGTATATGGCAACAGATTTTTAAAAAATGTAATAGGCATACTTTTTTTAGTGAATGCTTCACTATTTTCTTTCTAAGACTTACTACTCTTCTAAATCATTTGCATGTTTAGGACCTTTAAGCATTTGCTTATCTTTCTGGTGTTTTGAAGATAGTGTTAAAAAGTTCCCTGAAGATACTTGGTCACCACACATTAGGATAATCAGGCTCCTGGAGTTTGGATAAGGGCTGCTAATTCATAGTTTTCTGCGAATTAGTTTCACAAATATGAGCTCTACTTTAACTGAGCCATTTACTGGTCCGCTCTCAAATGAGGACGGAGGATTGGAATTGAAAATATCCAGCTGAGACACATATGGGAAGTGACCTGTGGGTAGGAAAAACATGCAAGAATTACTGCTCTCAGCATCTTAGCAGCTGTTTGGCTGCCCACAATACCTCCACTCAGCGGCTCTGGGGAGATGCTGCCAAGAGGAGTGCTTGGGAGTGGGTTGGCTGACAGGCAGGGAAGGTGTCCGAGCTGAGTGAGCAGCCTCCAGCAGCTCTGGGGGATGAGAAGTACCCCAGCACTGCAATGTTTGTTATACAGAGAAGGATGTTACTTCTGCAACTCAAGAGTTATTTATTTTTACCCTTTCTTAAAATTCAGTTCTTTGTGGCAATTAAAAGTTCACATTAACCATGCTATTATAATTTGAAATCTGTATTCAAGAGTGTTTTGCCTGCTTAGATGGAACAATGGCAGACATTGGCATTACCGTTGGGTCTCTAAATACAATGCAGGTATAAAGGTCTTCAGCCCATCACTCTCTCCTGAGATCTACCTCTTAGCAGTCCAATTACAGTAGGACTAAACTTTTTACAAGATCTCAAAAACTTTACGGTAACTTGAGTGCATCTTTAGGTTTTATTATTGCAAAGGCATTTCAGAGATGCTAAAAGTGCTGCATAAGGTTTCTAGCACAGATATTCTCTACCTTTATAAAGCACAAATTGTAAGCAGATTAAGGCAAAACAGTGAAAATCTGCATGCAAATCTCCACCTCAGTGTTTCCCTCTGTGCTGTATACTTTGAAGGGACCAGAACCACCCTTCATGTCTATGTTTCTTCAGGTCGTCTCCAAGTTACAGATCTTGGATTTTTTTTATTTTTTTTTTTTTCAGTTAACTTCTTGGTTAGTCAGAATCACAGAATGTTAGGGATTGGAAGGGACCTCAAAGGATCATCTAGTCCAATCACCCGGCCGGAGCAGGACCACTTAGATTAGATCCCATCATCAAACAGTTGTGTATCTCTCCAGGGCATCCATCTTTCTTCTTTTTCCTTTTCTTTTCCATTTTGAGACCTTCTGTGTTTATTTTCACATGATGGCATTAATACCTAAATTATCTGTAACTCTTGTGAGGGAATACCTGTCTGTCAAGCTGGTCATGGCTGATCTGTGATAACAGAATTCCCTCATCTTGGACTCTCTCTGGCAGAGAAAATCTAGGAAAATTCAAACTCTTAGTGTTGTTCTGGAGCCTCCAAAAATGAGATGAGTAACACTTGGCTGGGTCCTTGTCTTCCAGCTGGTGTACTACAGACCAGAAGATGGAGTTATAGCATTGAGTGTATAACAGAAGCCCAACCGCCAGCATTGTGCCTCAGCAGACCATGTTACTGCTTGGGAACTTGCACAGCTTAGTTAAGCAGTGAGCTACAGTCAGGGGAAAAAAAACTCTTTATTACAGGGCTGGACTGGTTCCCATCTCTCTTCTTTCATGCTCTAGAAAGAGGAGTGAGAGGAACAGAGCTCTTGGTGAGAGCTAGCACCTTACAACAGGCACTGATGGACAGACATATAGGCTGAGTGACTGGTAATGTTTCCAAGTCCTCAGAGCTGCTCTTCGTTCAACAGAGGTAAAGTGGGAATATTTTACCAAAGTTCAGCTCCTTTCAGTAACAGTTACTAAACTAAATATAAAACAGGACAGCTAGCAAAGTAAAATCAAATCCAGCTGAAATCAGTAACTTTGCATTGTTCCTGGATTGCAATTTAATAATCAAATTAGTTAAATCATTCAATGAGTAAACAAAGACACTGCCCTTTTATTTCTATGGTGGGATAAATATTTCTGTTATTAGAAGGCAACATTGAATAATTTCACCCAAGACAAATAAATCTAAGTTGGAGGCGGTAAAAATATTTTGACGCTGTGACCAGTCAAATGTAGCTTTAAAGCTAACTGCAAGGTTTCTCCGTTAACCTTCAGTTATTGTGTGCTGGTTTAACTTTTCTTTCCTGCATCCTGACAGGTGATACCTTAGACTTTTGTCTGATCAGCACTGTTTCGCTTTTTAAATTGTCAGTGTTTTAGCCACAACAGACTCCTTCACTGGCACTTCTTCCTGAAAGGGTGGCGTGAGGTCTGCAGGCTGGTACCTGTGCAGCATGTCCTGAATCTCAAATTTGATTAATTTTGCCAGTGATTATTATAGCTTTTGTATCATACAAGTCCTTGGTTTTCAACACAATAGAGTTTGGAATCCATCCAGAATGTTTCTCTTTTTAAGGTGTGGTGGGGTTTTTTTATGAACAATGAAAGTGATGCAACATTTGTAAAGGATAAACTCATTTTGAAGAATAAAATGAGGCAAATATTCTGTGGAATCAGCATCTTCATACATGCTAGGGTGGTGGTGGTTTTTTTCTGATTGTATTTGCAAGAGTATACAAATTTCAGTGAAGTGACTTTATTTCCACAATTGTGCCAGTTAGCCTAGAAATTAAGCACTCATCTAAATCTATAACAGACAGACCTCTTTAGTAAAACTTTGGTTTAATTTAGCCTCTGAACATTTTTTTTTTCCCATTTATGTGTTACATGTAGGAAAATGTTAATGCCCAACCCATTGGAGAAATTCTAGAAATTTATTGGAGTTCCCTCTGGTGACCATTTTGGTGTCTGTGGAAGCTCAGCACAAAGAGGACTGACTGCCATCCCCCAGGACGTTCCCCCAACCATATTCCTTGGATGGTGTAGCAGATTTTCTAACACAATTTTTCACCTTAACAGGATTTCCTCTGCCCAGCTATTAGCAAAATATTGCTGCTTGCTCAAAATTGTTCATCTCCTATGTAAGCAGCAAAATAAGTGCTTGGATTTACTATTCTACTTTTTCCCCCAAATTTTCAGTGCAAGCCGCAGCATGTTCGTGAACTGTTCTTTGTGATCCCTTTAAATGCCTCCTTTGATGTCCATATTCCAAAGCACATCCACTAACACACAAGAGAAAACCCAAAATCTACCTCTATGTCTCTGTCTACCCTGCTATACTCAAACGGTATCTGGAGTTACCGACCACTCTGAAACATTAGCTTGTGTGCTGTTCCTTTAAAATAGAGGGGGGAAAAATAGAATTTCTCTCTTGCTGAGAGCAAGATGTGGGATGAAAGGCTTGTGGATCCAGAAGGAAGTGTTGGGTTCAGCCTGTGAGAGCACTGCCAGCTTCTCAGATGTAGAAGAGGCATTACCGACCGTTTCAAGTCCAGTGCTACTAGGAGAAATCTAATTGAGGTTTTCTTTGATGAGAATAGCATTTGTTTTTCCTACACAGTTCTTTCATTAAAAATCAGTGTTTCCAACCCCTGGCTAGGAAATGTACCATCGCTTTTTTAGATTTTTTTTTTTCAACCTAAATATAGAAATACTTGAAATACCATTGTAGCATGGTGGAAGTAAATATTAGGAGACTTTGTAGGTGGCGTGAAAGGAAAAATGATTTTCATAGACATGCCTTTGAGGGACTCTACCTTGCTTTAAAAGGGGTGTCAGTGAGAGGCAGGAGAAAGATGCTTGGTCTCCCCAGAGACACTGTCATCAAAAATCAGTATTTGATAAGTTACCTTTCCTCTGTGTTAACCCAGTTCTGCAGCTATTTGAGAAAGAAGGTATAGGAACGCTGTCTAAATGTATAATTTTTAAATATGATTACTGAAAGATAGTGGGTTTTGATATTTAGTGTGGGATTTATATTGCCAAATTCAAACCTAAATGTAGGTGTTAAGTCTGAGCTAATCATGTAAATCCTGTAGGCTCTTTCCACAGGCAGGAGATAGAGAGTGACTCATCCCATGGTAACGTGTTTTTAGCTTTTTCTGCTGTTTGTAGAGGGAGCTTCTCTGGGTAAACCATCTGGTTTACCTCTCTTTTAGAGAGCCAAAGTCCCACCATTGGACTTTGAACTCTATTTTTTTGTGAAAATGATACTGGACAGCCAACTTGTAATTTGTTATTTGCTATTGCTCTGATCTTATCTTTAATCCTGTGCATTGCTCTGAAGCATTGTCAATAGAAGTATAATTAAAAAAAAAACCAAACCTAAAATGTGTTGAAGAAAACTGCCCATGAAGTGTTAGTGCCCATGAATCTCTTTGTTTTTAAGCATATTTAGCAAAATTATTACCTTCCATCTATAGTATAGAATTTAGAAGATAAATTATTTTACATGTCACTTCTTGGATGCCAAAGGTTACATGCACACAGTTACTTGTCATTCACATGTACATTCACATGTATTAGTGATGAAATTCAGAATTGCTACAGGCAAGATGCTTAATTTTTTGATTTAGTGGGCTGGTCCTGTGTTCCTCTGAATTACTCTGCTTTTTCAGACTTTTGTTATTGCTTTAGAAAGTTACAGAGCTTGGGGGTTTTGTGAAGAACTTTCTTTTCATCTCTTCAAGGCTGAAAGGGAGAGGTTGAAATATGCATCGCTCACAGGCAGCTTCATTTCACTGGATGCTGCTCTGAAGATGCTTTTTGAATCTTTAAAATATTTTGTTTCTGGAGGAAGTGAAAATACTGAGATCTTTTTCCTGTGGGTCCAAAGCAGCTGTTGAGTCTCACATAATCACAACAGATCTGCTTTGCCAGCAAGGTTACAAATGTCACAGAGGCAATGTTTAATATGTTTTATTTTAATTATATTTTACCTTGGCTCTGAACTCGTTTGCTCATGTTTTCTTCCGCATCCTGAAATCGCACAAGCACTGTAAATTCTCAAGTAAAATGCAATTACTCTTGGTGCCACAAAAAGTTAACCTCCTGTTGGCCAGCACGCAAAGCAGGTATTTAATTTCTCAGGTTCCTTTGCTGTTTGATTTGACTGAGTTCTATTGGTGTTTCAGAAAATATTTCTTTCTCCTTTACAGGCTTACAGATTTTCTCAGCTTCCTGAGATGGTAATGGGTTCTCCTCCTCCTCCTGTCCCTCCCAGAACAGGTCCTGTGGCTGTTGCCTCTCTCAGGAGGTATTTATCTGTTGTTTTATTTTAGGTATGATCTCTAAAAACTACTGTTGTAGTAAGAAATGGGGCAGATCTTGAAGTGGCACTTACAAGGCACTTGTAAAGACGCATTCATGAAATTAGAAACCTGTTGGTTTTGTTTCATTTTAACACAAAGAGGAAAGGAATAACAGTGAATTTTCTCTTCTATTAGCTAATTGTTGTAAAGAAATCAGAGCCTGGATTTCCTGATTTTATTTTGAAACATGCTTTGCCTCAACTCGCATAATGGCGTATTGTGTCGCAGATGTGTGGTAGATAATTCACGCTGTCATTCTCCCTGCTTTTCTGTGTTGTAAGGCCTTGCAACATGATATGGATGAACTGTAAGATGTTTCTCAGAACCTCGAGTCCAGGGATTTCTGCCTTGCTTTCAGATATCTCATACTTGTGTTTCTGAAGCCAAATAAGTGCAAAAGCCTGACTGCCTTAGCTCAAGACATACTTTTTGTCTCTTCCTCGCAGTAAGGCACTCTATAAAATGCATTTCAAGGGATTTTTACATGTCTGTGGTGGATGAACTCATTTAGCCTTCACTGTCATGCTGTTGGGTACTGCCGGGTGCCAATGGCAATCCGAGGCACTGCAGGCCTGCCGAGAGTTACTGTGGAGCACTGAAGCCAAAGGGAACTTTTCTGAGAGGCTGTTAATGATATTGTAACTGCATCCAAATATTCAGGATACTGACACTGTCTGTTGACATACTCTTGTTCATCCACTACGTTTTAGCTAGAAGCAACTGTGACACACCGTTTCAAAAGATGTTAGTACTTCCCAAGCGCAGTTCATGTTACTTACCATAGTATTCTTCTACTATATGATGCCATGTCATATATACTGTAGCAATATGGTATTGCTTACAGTCTTGTGATGATCACCTATGGCGAAGCTCTGGTTCTGGTGTTGCATGTCACAGGCATTTGTTTGAAGCAGCAAGCAGAGGCTCTATGCAGCGGTAATAACGTGCTTTGGCAAAGTAGTGACCAGGCTAAACAAGTTGTTCTCAGGCTTCTTCAGACTTATTTTCTCCAAACTTTTGTTATGCCAGAGCGAAATCAGATAGCTCGTTCCTAGCTGGCTTGTCATACTGTAGCTGATTGGCATGTATGTGGCTATGAATCTCATCTGTCAGTCAGAATGACAAAAGTTTCTATTCCTTTCTTTCTTAATGCACAGGTCTACATCAGATATTGGCAGCAAAGTGAGAATACCTGAATCCAGTGGGGCAGATCAGGCCCAGCATCATGATCAGGCATCTTTTGCACCTGGTTCGAGAGCTCCTATGTCTGTTGGTCCACTTGATCAATCAGCTTTTCACTCAGGTGAAAAAGTAGTGCAGACTCAACTTGCAGCTTTGAGAGCCTTCTGATTTATTTTGCTTATAAATGAATGTAGGGGATATAGCGAACATTATTATCTAGAGAAAGACTGTGTTAGGGTGTTTTTTTTATGGTGAAAGTGAAGGAGACCTACAAAAGGTTGCCACTTTGTAAATGTAGCATCAGCTATGTTGTAAAGTACTACTCATCCTGCAGAACCACCAGGAATGGTAATTTCTGAAGGTAAGATCCAGCAGTAAGGTACCAGATGGTCTTTGTTCAAGTATTCTGCTGGCTTGCTAATCAAGGCTGTGAATTATTAAAGCCAGTAAAACAGTTCATCTGTACCACAAAATCCAGTGGAATTTTTAGGGCTGATGCAGAGGATGTTGGCTGGCAAAAGCAGAAGTTGCACTATTGGGACTGCTGTGTGACTCGTGCTGTGGTGCACCATGTACAGAAACAACCCAGGTGGGTAATGGGGTTCTGAGGGGCATGGAGAAATGAGGTGGATCCTTCCATTATTTTATCAGTTAGGAATATCAAGCCAAGTGCTTTAAAACAGAGGATGTACAATGGAGCCATCAGTAGGACTGCAGAAGGAGCCTTAATGGCATTCGGCTCTGCTTGGTTTGTAAGGATAGGGAGGAAAAACAAGTCAACCTGAAGAATACAGTGTGTGCGAGACTGAGGTTTTCCAACCTGACTCTGGAACGAGTTTTATGATTCCCTATTTCCTCTTGAGAAACTTTACCCTTAGTCTTGTCACAACAGTGGGCTGCTGATGGTGGTAAGTTGAAGATATGTGCCCTTGTCCCTTCAAAAAAAAACGCAAGGCAGCAGTGCTTTTGCGTAGTCAAAGGTAATCCGCTGGCTAGTCTCCTCTCCTGTTTTGGAAAAGGTA